TTGATGGACCAACAATTGAAGACATGAAAACAATAGCAATCATTCAGATTAACCAAATGTTTAGAGTAAAAAACAAGACTTTATTAATAAAGCTTAAAAAATGATGTTTCATCGTCATTCTATTGCTTATTAATTTAGCTTAGTATTCTTGAGTTACAAAAAAACAAATATGAGTATAGAAAGATACAACGGAACCTAAAAGAGAGAGAGGGAGAAAAAAAAAAAATTGATAATTGTAGAGTTTTCAAGGTCGTCTTCTTTTTATTTGATTTTTTTAAAAAAAAATCCAGCTCCCACTTTGACATCTAGTATCTTTTGTACATACAAGTGTAGACTTTTAATTTCGTGTCAAGAAAAATCATTTTCGCTTAAGAGAGAAAAACCCATTTTTTTGCTTTTCCTTAAGCAAGAAATATCCGCTCCAAAATCGTCCAATTCAATTTTTTCTTTTTTTAGCAATGAAAATTATTGCAAGATACACAATTAAATTTCCATTCTTATTCATCGAAAGTTTCGAATCTTCACATTAATACTTCCAATGTAGTAGCGCAAGCTCGAGCTAATTATCCTAAAACATACAAAAATCGACTCTAATTACAATCCATTAGTCTTGTGTACATAATACAAACGCATGTTTGTCTAAACCAAACAGAGAAACACCAACTGCCTTAGCTGGCGCATGTGGAGGTCCCACCTCAAAATTATCCTTTATCAAACCATAATACCTTCCCTTTTCTCTATAAGCAAACCAAAATTTTCCCAATAAACGAATCTCAATTTCCCTTCATTTCTCTACAATTCGATTCTCATCAGATGTCGAAGCAGACTTACAAAGTGTGCTTCTGCTTCCGCCGCCGGTTCCGCATGGCTGCGGCTGAGGCGCCGGCCGATATCAAGGCCCTATTTGAGCAGTACTCGGATAACGGCGTAATGGGTGTCGATCAGCTGCAGCGCTTCCTCATCGAGGTCCAGAAAGAGGATAATGCCACGGTTGCTGCTGCCCAGGATATCATGAATAGCCTCCACGAGTCGAGGCACCTCAACATATTTCATCGCCAGGGACTCAATCTTGAGGGATTTTTTAAGTATTTGTTTGGGGAAGTTAATCCCCCGCTTAATCCCAAACTCGGGGTAATGTTTCTCTAACTTTTTTCCTCTTTCTTTAATCGCGGATTTGTAAATTTTGGATCAATGGTGATTTAGGTTATTTTCATATTTACCTCATTTGATTAATTTCACCTAAAATGTAAAATGTTTGATTGTTGTGTGTACGAGAAGGATGAAAAACTATGAGTTTCTTATTGATGATTTTGACACTTGAAAGAATAATGTAGGTTTTGGAAGGTATCACCATGTTTTCTCTGACCCTACAAACAAAATTCAGACAAGATAACAAATAATTTATTTCATTTTGTGTTTTCTATACAAAGACACAGTGAATGATTCTTTACTGTATGCAATTCACTCATTTATCTATCTATGCCAAGCATAAACTTATGGGTTTCATAAGAAGCTGGTCATCACAAATTAAATAACCAGTTTACTTAAAATGCCGCATTCAATTTGAGGATAGATTGCTCCTAGACCCAAAGTTCTTATTAGTCATCATTTTTGTTATGGGTCCTACTTATTTTTATTGATAAGCCAACGTGTTTCTAACCAGAAATCTGACAATGTTGAAGGAGTTTCATCATTTTTAGTTCTCATGAAGGTTTTCATCATTGGGATTCAAAGCAATTCTTAATTGTTTTCTTTATTTGTACATCATCTTTGTCTACATTTCCATGTATATTTTTTTGTTTGTGTTATCATTGGATATGACAAGTTCTAATCCTGTTCTACATTTTTTTCACCATTTGAACTTTGCATTTGGTAAGAAGCAACAGCCAGTTGCATTATTTGACAATCATTTACATAAAGTGCTGAATAAGTTATTTATATTTTTTCTTTCACAAAAGTAAAAAATCATAGACAAGAAGAATTTCGACAACATTTGATGACAAATAGTCAACTAAGTCCAACAACAAATAGATCAAAAAGATAACTCCAACCACATTACAATTGTGAAAAAGTCATCCCAAGAAAAGTATACATTATGCTAACAATGAAGTCACTTCACTTTTTTAAGTGACATAGAGCTGTACTTCCTTGGAAATATAACTCCCTCTTACCAATGCCGTGATAGCTATGATATCCACCTCAAAAGTTTGCTATCTAATTCGAAACAAAAAAAATTAGTGGAAACATCCTTCAATGAATTAGGCGTAATTTGATTTAAGAAAAAAGATTTAGGCATAATGAAATACTATCTAGTGCCAAGTAACAATCTTCTTGAAATATAAAAAACATCAATGCGAAAACAAATTATCTGAATTCGAGTTCCATTGAAACACATCAGGAGAAAGGCATTTATTTCTTTCTCTTTTCAATAAAAGAAGCCAAGGAAGAGACAAGTATTTTGCTGGTAAAATCTTGTGAACTATCAATAGTCCAAATCCGAGCATCTTGCAAATTCATATATTTTTCTTTCCCTTTTTTTTTGGGGCAATTGAAGAATTCGAGTACGAGAAAACTATCTATAACAAATGAAACACTCATACGTCGAAAGATTTATAAGAGTAAAATATATGGTGAAGTTCTAGAGAGGTTGCTGCTACAGCTTGCAACTGCATTCGTAACTCGATCAATAATTTGTGCAATGAAATTCTCAAATCTGATGCTATTCCAACTGCAATTGTGCCCCCCCCACCCCCCACCCCCCAATGCATGCTTACCATGGTAGCAGCATCATCCTCACAAGTTTATTGTATGAACATGTTCCAATCCAGATTGACTCTGTGATATTGAGTAGCAACATGGTGGCGTGGAGTCCCCATGTTTCAGCAAGCATTAAAAAGGAAACAAAAAAAGAAAGCTGGCTGATATAAAAATGGTGGAACTGCCATCAATTGACCTCCTAATAATATCCAATTTTACTTTAAGGTTCAGTACTATCTTTCCAGTTTCAAGTAAAATAATGCATGGGAATTAAGTCCACATGCATAGGTAGACATAAGGGTACTCGATAAGAGTACTTTATATATCATTGCCTCACAAATCTTAATTCTTCACTGATTTTGGCCACATACTAGTTTTGAAGTTTTACATTGTCCCATACAAGTTCTCGTAACTTTTCTTTGTAAGCAACTTTTTGGATCTCATCTAATGTTGTGAAAAAATTCAATTGCTTTATCAGTTTTTTGCTTTCTTTTATGTCTCTTCTAGTGCTTATGACTCCTTCTATGTCATTTAATTACTGCGATGTTATAAACTACAAGATGTAAATAGTAGTTGTCTTTTTCTTGATACTTATCCATTATTTTCCTTTTCTGGTTCACCATGACATGAATGCTCCATTGTCTCATTACTTCATATATAATGGACACAATTCTCATCTAACTGGGAATTAAGTCCACATGCATAGGTAGACAACTTGATAAGAGTACTTTATATATCATTGCCTCACAAATCTTAATTATTCACTGATTTTGGCCACATACTAGTTTTGAAGTTTTACATTTTCCCATACAAGTTCTCTTAACTTTTCTTTGTAAGCAACTTTTTGGATCTCATCGAATTTTGTGAAGAAATTCAATTGCTTTATCAGTTTTTTGCTTTCTTTTATGTCTCTTCTAGCGCTTATGACTCCTTCTATGTCATTTAATTACTGCGATGTTATAAACTACAAGATGAGAATAGCGGTTGTCTTTTTCTTGATACTTATCCATTATTTTCCTTTTCTGGTTCACCATGACATGAATGCTCCATTGTCTCATTACTTCATATATAATGGACACAATTCTCATCTAACTGGGAATTAAGTCCACATGCATAGGTAGACAACTTGATAAGAGTACTTTATATATCATTGCCTCACAAATCTTAATTATTCACTGATTTTGGCCACATACTAGTTTTGAAGTTTTACATTTTCCCATACAAGTTCTCTTAACTTTTCTTTGTAAGCAACTTTTTGGATCTCATCGAATTTTGTGAAGAAATTCAATTGCTTTATCAGTTTTTTGCTTTCTTTTATGTCTCTTCTAGCGCTTATGACTCCTTCTATGTCATTTAATTACTGCGATGTTATAAACTACAAGATGAGAATAGCGGTTGTCTTTTTCTTGATACTTATCCATTATTTTCCTTTTCTGGTTCACCATGACATGAATGCTCCATTGTCTCATTACTTCATATATAATGGACACAATTCTCATCTAACTGGGAATTAAGTCCACATGCATAGGTAGACAACTTGATAAGAGTACTTTATATATCATTGCCTCACAAATCTTAATTATTCACTGATTTTGGCCACATACTAGTTTTGAAGTTTTACATTTTCCCATANGTGCATTCTGAAACTATGTCTAACTTAATATTAACTTCACTTCATCTCACACTATAGTCCTTAATTATCCACAATCGATCATTTAGGATGATGACTTAGATGAAGGTGATGAAGATGATGGAGTTGATGAAGAGGATCCTAAGTCCCAGCAGATTGCAGAACCACCAGAATATAAGCGCTTGATTGCTATTCATGCTGGAAAGGGGAAGGGTGGAATGCAGGATTGGCTGAGGGTTGATCCTGAGAAAGTGAGACGTCTCAGCTTAAGTGAGCAAGAGCTTGAAAAGGCTATATTAACTTATGGAAGAGATATTATCAGGTATTAGTTCAAACACATTCTAAAGTTTTTCTTGAGCATGATTCTCAACTTATTGACATTTGGAGGCATTTATTCCAAGAGTGTTTTTGTCTCGTGGAATTTGGAATTTGGCTGTTACTTTGCTTAATGAATGGAATAGTGGTGAGAGTGCGGAAGATGTATCGAAGGCAAAGTAGGAAACGATAAAGCTTCAGACATTATATAGATTGTCATAACTAGAATATAATATTCATGCCAAAGAAATAGCTTCACATGACCATTCCTTTTGACTATTCTAAAATATCATCAATTCGATTCAACTTAGTGTCAAATTGGTGGGGTCATTTGCCCCTCAGAGGCATGGATATGCCGTGATAGCATTTTTTAACAGTTCCAGCTAGTTACTTATTAGGTATTTACTGTTTTGTGTATGTGTATAAAACATGTTTCATCTATGGGGTTCTTATCTTTATGAGGACTGTCTTAAGCGATTTTTTATCCTTAATTTTCTTTTGTTTGTTTGCTTTAGGTTTACGCAGCGGAACATATTAAGAGTATACCCTAAAGGTATACGCTTTGACTCTTCCAACTACAATCCCTTAATTGCATGGATGCATGGAGCTCAGATGGTTGCATTTAACATGCAGGTTAGTGTATTCCTAAACGGAGGAAGTTTAGTATGTTTTGCTACATAGAAATACTGAATCCAATCACATTTTTGAAGAAATATGAAGGAGAGATTTTAAACTTTACATTCTTATTGACTATTCTTGAGAATGTTTACCTGAAACCTCCTAGAACTGACAAAAGGTTGTGGAAGTTAGAACATGTCAGATCCTTCGGTTGCAAATCGTGATTTAATACTCTAGTTGGTTCACCAGGCTATCCCATGTTTTCCACGTTTAGGTTCATTTCGAAATCTTGCATCCCTTTAGATAAAAGTGTTTCTATGGCTGGCGTCTCATAGGAAAATAGTACTTGTGAAGTGTTCTGCCTTTATTTCTCTCTCCCCCCCTCGTAGTGATATGTAGAAAGGATCTATAAAGTATGAATCACTTACTTTCACATTGGCTTCGTTGAGGGTAAAAGATGTGGGATCATGTGGAAATTGATAGTTTCAGCTAATTTTTGGTGATATGGATAGAGGAACAGTAGGATGTTTAAAGCAAAAGAACAAACACTTTTTGCGTTATACGATAGATCTATGCTTTTATAATTCTTGAGGATTTCCATGTGGAGTTGAAGTGCATTCTATTAGCCTTAATTAAAATATGTATTCTATTCTTGATTTGGCTTTATTTTGGTTGATGATGAGAATTCGTTGTCCTCTTAACAATTCTAATTAATGCTTCTATAATTAATAAAATTATGTTTCTTATGAAAAATAGCAAATATTAGCAACAAATTGAGCAATAAGTGACTGCGGAAGAAAAAAAATAGTGGTGCAATCTATTAATTTCATTGCGTTTTAGGTGGGAGATTTATGCAGCAAATGGTAATATTAAAGCTAATAGCTCACAATCTTGTAAATAGTTGAAGGCAAATGAGATACCAAGATACAGGGGCGGATCCAGAAAAAAATTGGACACGGGCGGCTAGAACGCAAAAAAAAAAAAAATTACACATAAAATAAAAAATTTACTAATTTTTTTTTTTTCTATTTAGGATTGGGCTGGAGGGACGGGCCTGGATCCGCCCCTGCCAAGATACTTCGATGATATGATAGTATTCTCGAAATTTCATGATTACAGCTTGATATGTAAGAGAAATAATAGTCTCTAATAAGTATAAGAATATGTGAAGTTCAAAGGGGTGACTTAAGTGATCCGGCTCTGTAGTTTTCCATGTCTATTTTATCAAGAAAGCATTATAACTTCAATAAGGTAGATTATCCAATATAATCTACTTTTTTTTAAACAGGGTTATGGAAGATCACTTTGGTCAATGCATGGAATGTTCAGGGCCAATGGTGGTTGCGGATATGTTAAAAAGCCAGACCTTCTGTTGAGGGCTGGTCCACACAACGAGGTCTTTGATCCTCAAGCTAAATTACCTGTCAAAACTACTTTAAAGGTAGGTTTGGGATTTGTTTGGCATTAATATTCTGGACAACAACATTAATTTCTAAATTGACTGAAGCTCAATGCAATCTCTTTTCAATTCATCCATACACCATGCTTAACCAGGTGACTGTATTCATGGGTGAAGGATGGTAGTATGATTTCCGTCATACACACTTCGATCCTTATTCTCCTCCAGATTTCTATGCAAGGGTAAGTAAATAATAATTACTTTCTTCCTGCCCACCACTTGGTTCCAGACATGCAACTCTTTTTAGTTAATTTTTTGCTTTGTATGCTTCTCTGACTAATAACTAAATATCTTTACATTCTATATGACCTGCCGTATGTCTCTCTTTTAGGCATATGCTAAGTTGTGATCTTGTGCCCTAGCAGAAAGAACAATAAAATATTAGCTTCTGACCAGTTGATGAATGCTATCTCGAGGGTCCAAATATATTATTTACAGTAGATTTAGCTCTTGTTTGATTTTGATTCTTTGATAAATTTTTTTTCCCTTTCTGAATGTCTGATTAGAAAGTATGGAAAGGTTATGGGTAAACGTGAAAAATGTATTTTTTTAAAGAACGTGTGGTTGAAAATGAGTGTGGGAGAGAAATGATTCTCAAAGAATCAAAATAAAAAAAAAGGGCTATAAATGGGGTGTGTATTGGGTATGTTACTAAGTTTGCAAACTTATTTATATTCAGGTAGGAATTGCTGGAGTGCCTAGTGATACTGTGATGAAGAAAACAAAGACACTTGAGGACAACTGGATACCAACTTGGGATGAGGTTTTTGAATACCCATTAACAGTTCCAGAACTGGCCCTGCTTCGAATTGAAGTTCACGAGTACGACATGTCTGAGAAGGATGACTTTGCCGGCCAAACATGCCTACCGGTGTCAGAATTGAGACAAGGTATCCGAGCAGTTCCAATTTACAATCGCAAGGGGGATAAGTACAAGTCCGTGAAGCTTCTTATGCGATTTGAATTTGTTTGATAGAATAGTAATATATGCATAAGTGATTATATTTGTCGAGTTATTTGTGGACATTTTTGTCCTTATGCACATTTGGTGTACAGAACTCCCGCGTGGTATTGTGTGTTTTAAGTCTCTTCCTGACTCCGATATATACTTGTATATACGATATTGTGTTTGTATGTATAGTGTGAGATGAAAATAAAGAATCATGTCTTAGAATTCGAAAGTGTTACATTTTTTTAAGTGGTGGTCGAACTTTACATTTTGCTAATAGTTGAATTTTGGGATATCCTCGATCAAACAATTCATTGATTTTATATCCTCTTATCAAACGATTCAAATTACAGTAGGATGTCCCTCCTCGATTCACTGATTTTCTCGCCAATCTTGCAATTTGATTAGTTGATTTCGTAAACTCCTCCCTCCTCACATCCATCAATTCTTTCACCATTCTCTCCATTATAACTCTCATGTCCAATCGAATCTTCCAGACCTCCCGTACCTGTCTGCTATTCACTTGATGATCAGCATAAAATGGCCAACATATCATTGGTACTCCTTCACAAATACTCCCAAGAGTAGAATTCCATCCAATGTGTGTCAAAAACCCACCTATAGCCGGGTGGGCAAGAGCTTCCTCTTGTGGTGCCCAATTCACTATTTTTCATCTTGTGTTTAGTGCCGTCAAAATGCACTCTTGGAACCTGGAACTCCTCGGAAATCTGGTTAGCTGGAATAACCTACAAAAAGGACTTCCCACTATTCACTAACCATGCCAAAACTCACATAAACTACATATTTCAATGCCTGATCATCTAACCATGCCATGCATTCACTTTCCTCATCCTTGAGTCCACTAGATGATCCCATCTGCACCGTTGTCTTTGTTTTCAAGCTGGCATGTATGGGTCCAATTGTGTACACTTTCTGAAATTTAGTGCGAAAATGGGCTAAGGAGAACTCTTCTAGTTCTTCAAATGCGTTCAGTATTAGGCCATAGCTGCTGGTGGCAGAATGAGTCTCAAACACATGTTGAAGTTTACAATCTGATAGATCAATTGCACGACGGAAACTTGGAAGATCTCGGAGCCTAAGAAAACTCTCCATTCCTAACACATTTGATACTAATTTGTCCTAGTTATAATCTCCTTTTAATGGAAGCTCGAGAGCATCTATGAGCTTAGGGACACAAAATAAAGACCAAAAGCAGCTTGCACTGAATGGACGAAAGAAAATAGAAGTTGGAACTCCTTTGCAATATCAATTGTAAAGCACATAATTCCATCAGCAATTATGCAAGTTAAAGGAAGGTTGCCATCACGAGTTACACGTGCCCTGATTTCACCATCTCTTTAAATCGTGGTTTTGTTGTAGAAAATAGGGAGTTAAACAGTTCAAAAACATTTTAGTCCTATGATTTAGAGCATGTTTGGCTAAGCTTAAATTTTTTATTTATGACTCACCTTTTAAGTAATCAAGTTTTTTTTTTTCAAAAAATAAAATAATAATAAGAATTTTGTTTATCAAAGTAGTTATTAATTTCAAAAGTAATCACGAGTTCTACTGATTTTTAAAGTAAGGACATGGTTGAAGTAGAATGCAAAACATGAAAAAATAATTTTAATTTGTGTTAAATTTCCATTTTGCTGTACAATTAACATTTACTATCACAAACCTTTTTGTATGCACTGTCATCACAAAAATGTTTGATCTGCATCTCATAGAGTTAGAGAAGAAAATATTATTGGATTTGGATTTGGATTGGTATTATAAAACATTTACTGTAAAACAAACTTTTTTGTATGTACTCTTAGAGTTGTAAAACTACTCGATCTGCATCTCATAGAGCTAGAGAAGAAAATATTAATAGGATCCTAAGGACGACTAAAGGTTGGTAGGTGGCAACGAATTCTTATATATTATACAATGCACGCGACTATTACACGTAATGGATCAGTTTTTCAAATTTTATTCCCATACTTGACGTATGACATTGGAGTAAAGGAACTAGTCAACAATCCGATATCCATTCTATACATGCATGGCATTAACCTTTTGGGAAGAGTAGTAATAAGACGCCATTTTCAGACTTGAAAAACATGAAGAATGACATTTTGGCTACAAGATAAGAGGAGGGGTCCAGACAATTCTACTTACACTAATGTCGATCATTTATTC